TGTCACATGATCTTCAGAAATCAGTATAATATGCTGCTCTGCTGCTCAAGAAACATTTCTGATTATCATCAATGTTGAACACAGTCGTGCTGCACAATATTTTTGTGAAAACTGAGAGCATTTTATTTTTCAGGATTTACAGATGAACAGAAAGTTCAAAAGAGCAGCATTTACTCATTGTTACAAGTTTCTTTTGTAACAATGTAGAAGTATTTACTTAATAAAAACAAAACATAGAAAACTGGCAAGACATATATAACTTACAGTACATTATATATATATATATATATATATATATATCACTTGTGAAGAATTGTGAAAAATACAGGCTAAATATTTACTAAAATATAAGCTTGGAGCTACATTCCAGACAAGTGCAAGTTGCTGTTTTAAGCAAATGTGTTGTAAAACTAGTTGGTGTTTTAATTACTTTCAACATGTGGTGCTCATTAATCTCATGTTGTCCCTACAGCAAGTGCACTGGAAGTCTCACTTAAAACTGTTAAATCATAAATCCTCAGCAAACACAGAGCATGGTTGATCTTATCTCCAATGGTCTCCTTATACAACCAGTGGCATTTCCAGACTTCCAAGCAGAAGTGAATGTGCTTTGCAATCATTTCTCATTCGAGGTGTGGCATGTTGGGTAATGAGACCAATCATCTGTGGTCAAACTGTGATATTAATATAAGCTTTCGCTCGACTGGACTCAGACGCTGTGTGATTACCCGTCACACTTCATTTCTCGATTGTAAAAACGCTACATGACTCTTTCCTGCTCACAATTTAGTGATGTGCTGCTGAGATACCACATCTTTATTCATAAAGCTCACATTGGCCCATCATTATCTTTTAATTACCACAACCCAGTATCGGGCCCTATTATAGGCAGATAATTAATCACGTATAATGGTGCAATAGGATATTGTGATTGGGGCAGAGAGGTTGGGAGGGGGTTATTTTGTGCAAACAGGGAGCTAATAGCAACTCTTCTGAGTTTCATTATTTGCACATGAATACACTGTGAATAATGGATGAATGGCTGTGTGAAGGGGCAGCGAGCGGAGATGAAACCGTGCACTGTAAAAAATGACCGTGCATTTAACGGTAAAAGACTGTAAAAAAGCTACAGTAAAAACCTGTTAATTGGTTAACGGTAAAGTCCCATAATATATACGGTGAAAAACTGTATTGGACATTACATGTAATTTTACGGTAGTATAGCGTTTTTGGAAGTGAAACAGATCTTATAATTTACAGTGAATAACCGTAAATTGACATTCCCAGAATTCCCTGCGTTACATTTCAAATTTGATGTTTTTTTGTTGAAATAACTATGTTTCTTAGTTTTTTCTTATCAGTTTTGTACATTAGGGTTGTGTGTTACACCTAATGTTGTTAAATGAATGTTTACTGTATTATTTCAGTTTCGTGTGTGTTACCGTGATGGTGTTTAGTGTTTGTGTGAATGACTCTGTGTGCAGCTTCTATATATGTTATTATCTAAAAGCTGCTTGTGATGGGCTTTGGTTCATCGTGTGACTTTCTCATCACCTCCTGCATTTGGTGGTTATCGGTGTATTACGAAGGTACAAAACAGATTTCAGTACTTCAATAGGTTGGTATATTAACATTATATCAGTTAATGAAATTACGGTATTTAACTGTAAATTTAAGTTAAAACCGTAAAACCTAAAATGTTGCTACCGTATTTTTTACGGTAAAATTCCGGCAACCACAGCTGCTGTTTTTTTTTTACCGTAAATTTTACGGAATGTTTTTTACAGTGTGGGGTAAATTCACTGCTCTTTATATAATTCCATCATGAATTCGGCTGCTGCGGAAATTCTGTCGTCATTTACTCACCCTTATGTTGAGTTTCCTCAAAAAGAGAAATGACTGCCATTCTTGTCCATATATTGAAAGTGAACGGTACTGCACGAGTCAAACAAACACCATAATATGACTTACATATGAATTCATATAATACGATTTAACACTACAAAAGTTATATGAATGGAAATTGGTTCTTGTCTGTCTCGTGGCCAAACATTATTGATGCTAATTCCACTGTATTTAAAGCTAATCGTAGCTAAAACGATTGCAGATGTAACTATTTTTAAATCCAGATTTCTTGGCATCTCCTCAGCTGCACACAAACTGGTTTTGATGCCTAAACGTTTGGAATTTCAATGGCAGATCTGGAAAAGAAAAGTTCCACACACTGATTTTTCCCCGTTAAAGTAAAAGTTCAAGAGGAATCCAAACTCATATGACTTGGAAAACAAAAGGAGAAACGAATGCCATTCTTATCCATATATTGAAAGTGAAAGGCACTGCAGGAGTCAAGCGAATACCATAAAACATCATAATATGATATGAGCTAATATGATAGATTTGTGTGAAGAACAGACTGAAATTTAAGTTGTTGTTTTATTTTATCGTCCTGAAAACCTGTAAAGTTGTTAATTCCACTATATTGTAAGCAACAGGATCAAATACAGTGTCCCGAGCCCAAACAGATCCACAGTATCTCTGCCGTATACCCCTCCATCAGACGTTATTGTGATTTTATTTTCTTGCCCATTGTGAACAGCTGTAATCACAGTCTAAAAAGACCAGAGGAAATGAAAGAGCCTCTGGTTGGCATCTTGTCTGCCGTGCCGTGGACCGGAACGCTTTAATTAGAGCCGGACTGCTCAAGCGCTGCTGAAAATAAAGCACAAGTAAACGTCACCTTCCTCTCTTCTCTTCGCTTTGTGTTTATGCATGCATATGAATTCTGACTGAGAGCTGTTGACTGAAAACCCTGCATGCTAATAACACACAGTGCCACATTTGCTCATTTTTATCATAATATAATCATGCACATTTTTTGCATTGCATTATTTCTTTAGTCAGTCAGGTACAAACAAACAGTCAATTTAAATGTTTCTGAATTCAAGAGCACCGAGGACCATTAATGAAGCTGTGTATTTTTTTATATTCTCTTTAGGATTGTAAATTCAAAGCAACAACTAGATTAATTAATATGAAAAACAGATTTTTCCATTAACACAAACTGCCAAAAGCAATGCACACACGCCGCTAGTGTTCGCCGTCGGCGTCTCGTTCTTACACTGATTGGCTGGATTAGTTTGCTCTGCGTTTGCTGCACTTCACACACCTCTCATTGCGTTTATTAAATATGCATTTATTAATAATGTCAACATATTGCAAGTGCCAGCTGTATTTCCAAACTATAGGATCTAGCGTGGAAAAATCAATTCAGCCGCATCATGCTCATAGCTGACAATGCGAATGCAGATCTTAAAATATTGATGAGGCATTAAGTAAATCTGATTTGTTTGAAGGTTTGATTTCACACTGCGATACTTGACACCATAAACCAGATACAGAACTATTTTTTGCAATTTGCATGACTCAAAGTTGCTGCACCAACATAAATATTAAATGCATCACCCAACAAAATATCACAAAATAATGATCATGATCACTAGCAAAGTAGGTTGGATGTGCTTTGGATTTCATGCAAAACTTTCATCTTTGTAACATCAAGACAGTTCTAATAACAAGCTCAGATTTAGCACTGAAGTCTCTGATATGGCAGTCCATTGCCAAAGGCTGGAGAGTAAACAGAGAGATGTTTGTAAGTGTTATGGTTCATGGAAGTGGTAATTCAGCATTAGTATCAGTGCACAGGATGATCCTGAAGAGCACTGCGTCTAGCATTAAAGAGGAAGCACGTCTCTCTGGGAGACCGAACTCTTTACCTTAAGAGAGAGCCAGGAGTTCAGCTGCTATTTTTAAACATGGTGCATCTCATAAAGCAGCTCATGTGCTGCTTTTTCAGTTCAGTCTTACTCACCTTACTCAGCTTGTTTTATTGATTGTTTGCTCTTTTCATATTAAAAAAGGATTATGAAACAAGTGAGAAGTGCTTTTGGTGCCTCAAGCATTAAACATTTCAACTGAAAAATAATTATGTATGGGTCAAGGGACATGATTAAATGTGTTATTTTTATTGCATTAGTATTATTATTATTATACTAAAAATATAAAAATAAAAAACATAAAAAATATTAAAATTAAAACTATATAAAAATAAAAAAACAACTAAATTATATTTATTGCATTATATTATTATTATTATTATTAAAAAAAAAAAATATATATATATATATATATATATATTAAAAGGAAAACAATATAAAAATTTAAAAACAAAGTTAATTGTATTGCATTATATTATTGTTATTATATAAAAAATAAAAATGTAACACATTTTTGACTGACAGCCTTACATAAAAAAAAAACTGAGCTAATTTGAGGCTTATCATAGGCTGAAATGATTGCATCACTTATTCTTGAAACCTCTGCCCTCAAAAATGTGACCGCCTTTAAAATGAGAAAGGTCTTGCGCTTTGACATCAGGTCTTCTCATCTCCAAAATAATTATTCAAAATGCAAATGGAAATAGAAGCCAAGGCTGAAGCATCTCTGGACATTAGCTTCTCGAAATAAACATAGACAGCTTCTTCAAGTTGAGCTGATCAGTTCTGATGACTTTGAAATTCACGGCCAAACTGAGTTTTCCGGCTGTTTTAAATGAATTGCAGTGAACCTGATAAAGACAGGCCCTTGACCCTCAGACATTATAAGCAGAACTACTGGAGAACGCTTCTCTTTCTCTTTAATCCATCTATCTATCTATCCATCCATCCATCCAGATTCTAGAGATTCACATAGAAAACAGCATGCATTCACATGCATTCCTGTTTAAAGACCAAGCAAACAGCGAGTGATGAGCAAGTAGTCATAGAAACTTCTAGGAGTGAAAACCATTTTAATTTATATATGTAATAAAAGACAGGCACAACATGTTTGCAATAAGGACTGCAATTATTATGAAACATTTCAAATTCCAATATATGCAATATTCAAAGTACCTGACAACATTATAATAAAAAAAAAAAATTCAAAAATTCAAAGTCCCTAACAACATAAAAAAAAAAAAAAAACAGGATTTCAAAATACAATCTGTAATCAGTTGCATCTGGCCATGTTTGAGCTGACAGACGTGAGCACTAGACTCTCTCAGACGGATGCTGGGTGTGTCTCACGCACCGTTTGATGATTTCAGGATGAGTTTATCGCTCCTGATGTTGTTTAGGAAAGAGTGGAGAGTACGAAAGAGGAGCTTCACGTTTCAGTCCCATTGGGAGTTTGAAATGATGCTGGATCGGACGGATGGTTCCTGCTCATGTCAATCACTGATGGTCCAGCCTCGACCTGAAACACACACAGACACAGACACAGACACAGACACAGACACACACACA